CTCCCTCTGGGGGCTGGGGTAAGGCTTGAAACTATTTTCTGCTTTTCTCTGTTGCCTCAGTTTCTCCATGCTTTTCTGCTGCCACCTTTTTTGATTCCCAATGCTCTTCCTCTCTTTTTCTCTTCAGAACATATTCTCTACTGTGTCACCTACACTTCTTATTCACGGAGTCTAAACAATGGACACTTCTAATCCATCATTTCCCATTCACCTCCTTCTGTCAGTATTCAAGAGTAGAGAAGAAACCTCCTGAGGTAAAAACAGAATTTCACACTCTGCAAAGCAAGGTGAAATAATATTAATAATACAGCATTTTTAGATAGTATTACTGAAGATGTCAAATTCCTTTCAATAGCAAGTACAGTAGGGGAAAGTCATATGATACTAGAAGGAAAAATATCTAATTAGATGGGTTACACATTGGGGAAAAAGAAATGACATTGTACCTAGTAAAAATAAATAGAAATGACAAATATTTTGTTTTTTATCCCATCTCTCAATAATACTATTATTGACATAGATGGCTGATAATTGCCAAAAATTAAAGAGGCAAGGCTGTTGTTTGTGAATTAGCAGGAAATGAAATGAGTTCTTGATTCTTGTCAACAATGCCAATCATAATTGTTTCTACCAAGTGTATGTTTAGAATTTTGTGATCCTTGATTTCTTTCCTCTCCTGAGTGAAACTACTTTTTTTGAAGTATTATAAAGAAGCTTCCAAATTATAAGATAAATGGAGTGTTTTCCTATTTGTAAGTACAGATAGAGATTAAAGTGTGAGCTCCAAGATAAATGTTGATAAAAATTTCTTACCAGTAACTAGATCAAGTGGTACAAATACTAAGAATAAAAATTTAATTCTTTCACTTTGTTTTCTAAAGTTCAGTGTATCTTTAATTTAAATTTTTGTGTAATAAACATATATTTATTAATTCATGCATTTTATAGGAATAGGAAGTAATTATGAGAGAACTATAGTTTGAACAAAATCACTTCAATATCTAAAAACATGAACTAAAATAAAACTACAGCCTACTAAAAGATTCTAAGAACAAAACAAAGAATAGGAAATATTCTGCTGCCATTTATCTAGGTCGAATAATTGGATTCTAGTAAGGTAGAGGGAATTTAGAGATCTCAGTTATACGAGGTTGGTTTTGTGAAAAACTCATAGAAATGTTTTGAGATAGACCTGACAATCTATTTTGGAGAATTTTAGGTTTTTCTCTTTTTGAGTTACTTGTTTTTTTAAGGTGAAAAATTCCAAATAAAGGGTAACATGTTTTTACCAAAATAATAATTAATCTAGTAAATTCAATGTATATTTATGCAAAAGTTAAACATTAATTCTTCAGCAAAATATTTTACTCTTTCTCAATAAAAGAAAATATGTCTATTTTAAAGTAATCTTGGATTAACAGAATCACTTCTGCTGTCAGTGCCACTCTGCCTGGACTTGATGCTTGGAGGTCACGGCTGGAAACAACTGGGAGCTGATCTTGGAGGCTGCCTTGCCTTTTTAGGTTATGAGGGTCTCTCTGTGTTTAGGATAACATGATTGGCAGCTCCACTCCAGCTCCAATTAGCACCCTATAATTTATTAGCTACTGCTTTCAGATTATGCGTTAACTTCACAAATATTTCAACCACGGAAACAGTGGCTATCGAGTGTCTCTTTCCTGATCCAGTCCTCTGGGGCTGGAGTGAAATACAAGGAAAGAGCAGTACAGTTGGTCTGTCAAATGAGAATAATCATTTGTGTCTGTGCCTGTCTATGGGCATAATGTCTCTGGTTTCTCTTTAAGGGTGTGTGTGTGAGAGAGACATTTGTGGAAAAGTAGAGTCTATTGTGTGAATATAGTCTCTGTATCACTTGAGCTACATTTATTTATGGGTGTTGGGAAAGAGCCAGAGTTTAGAAAATATGAAATTTCTTTGCTTACCCCTATTGTTGTTATAATTGTTCCGACCTCAGTTACATACAAATGGCAACTGTATTAATAAAACTGTCTTAGGACATTTATCCATTTACTCCAGAATTTAGGAACATAATAATAAATTCTAAAACTCTAGCAAGAGAAAATGGAACACATAGGGCACAGTCCTTGACAAGTACAATGAACATATGAATTATTTGCATACAAATTTTCAACAAATTAGTAATTTATAAAGGAATCTTATGTTTTCCAATTTTATTTGGCTTTCCATCTTTCTTCTATGCTTCCACATTATCATTTAATGACATTAAAATGCATTTTATGGAAATGGCACACATGGAAAACAGTTTGTCTAAGTTTTATTATGTTTTTATTTCCTCCAACTCACTAAGTGCTTTAAAAAGAGGCTTCTGGATGGGAGGTGTGGCTCAAGTGGTAGAGAGCCTACTTTGTAGGTGTGAAGCCCTGAGTTCAAATCCTAGACCCACAAAAAATAATAAATAAAAAGAACTTTGTTTATGCTGAATGAATATGTATAGTTGCTTACAGAGAAATGCAGGCTTTCATTCTAAACAAAATTGAAGTTGAAGTAACCTTAAGAGTTGTTTCTCCACAGCAATTATTGTACTTATGCATAACAAGTGGCCAGTGCAGCTTTAAGTCAGGAACTCTGAGTCCCAACATCCACCTCCCATTCAGGCCTGAAGCAGCCATGCTAGAATTTGCAGTACATTGAAATAGAACTTCAAAGGGAAATGAGATGGGATGGCAGCTCTTTTTCAAAACTAAAGGAGCAGAACAGATAGAGTTCCCTGTAGCTGGGTGACTTGAGTTCTCAGCCAGAGGGCAATGGGCAAGAGGATTATTTGGTGGTGGAGAGCCATTTCTCCTCTTATCATCACCTCTTCCTCAGCTTAGGCCAAGTGCAAAGGGAAAGATGGATACTAGAGCCAAGGTGGGTATGATTGCAGGAGAACCTAATCTTTTTTTCAGACCCTCAACCTGGTATAGTATGTATAGTATGTATAGAAATGTGTTTGCCTTTCTCATATCATCCCTCATTTCCTTGAGCATATTTTTTCAACTACTGGAAACTTTTGGATCTGTGTGATTTCACTAATGTTATCAAGACAAGTTTGGTAGTTCTTATTTTGCATTAGTTGGTAAGCCTAAAGATGTCAACTAGGGTTATTAAATCCTAAGTTCTCTTCAACACTCTTATTACAGAGAACCAAATTATAGTTCTAAGTCATCTTGCATTTCTACTTTAGGGCATTATAAAACAGAGTGAAATGCTGCTCTTCAAGTGTCATCCCTGCCAGGTTGCTGGAGCCTGGGCTGGCTCAGAAGTCTGGGCAGTCTGTTTAAGACTTGCCCCAAAGGCCACTTCCAGTGAATGAGTCTTCTCATCAGCAACCTGATATTCAGGTCAGATGCAGCTTAGGAGAGAAGTTTCAGTAATCAGAACCTCGTGGCTGGGAAAATGCTTCTTATGGGTTGTGATCCCAGAGGTTCTGAGTGCTAACTCAGGTGGAGAACAGGTAAAGAGCTTCTTCCAGTGAGGAATATGGGGAGAAGATGCCTAGCAGAGAATAGACTGCTATGCTTTATTCTTCTATAGCATCTTTAGTGGCAGAATCTGAAAAGCACATTGGGACTTAATGTATCTTACGCATATACCAGTGATCCGTGCCAATGGAACATGGATTAAAAAAATCCACAGAGAAGTCCAAAGTTAATTTTAGTTATTGCTTCAATGTCCAAACCTCAGGCTAACTCTTTACAGGGCTTGGTTAGGTTGGGTGTGAAGAACTTGAGAGCAGTGAAGCCTGTTAAATACTGAAATTAATTAATAAGAGAAGCAATAATTTCCCTGTGGAGAAGAATAGAGATCTCCATCCTACTGAATGGTCTAAAAGTACCATTTAATGAAAGAGTTTGGACAATGCCCAATGATAACTCTTTTTAGATCTGGGATCCTATGAGTTTTACAAAGTGTCAGACTTTGCTTCTCTCCTTTTCCCCCTTCCTTTTAACATTTTTTTGTGGAGAAAATAAGTTCAAATTTGAATAGCAAAGAGAGAAATCAGAACTGTAGAAGCAGTTATTGCAGTGGGTAACAGTGCAGCCTTTACACTTGGCTACCTGAGCTTGCATCTTGGCTCTGCCACTTACTTTATAACTGGGTAAATTACTTTTCCTCCATGCTCCTTGGTTTCCTCATAGTGAAGAGACAATAATAACAAATATCATATAAAATGTCATGAGGCTTGACTGAGTTAATTCATCCATAAAGCCTTCCAATGAGTGCCTGGTACATGATAAATAATTGACATTAGTATTATTTTGTATCACATCTGAAGCATCATAATCACATCGTACCATCTTCTGAGTGAAAACAATGACATCACTCTTGTAATGATCATATCTACTTCAGTTTCCCAAAAAGTAGAAAAAGGGGATGGGTAACTCTGCCAAGCTCATGCTCTGAGTAGGTCCCTTAACTGCTTCCAATTCTTGAGGCTGTTATCCAAGATATATATTTGCCTCTCACATTACAATGAGACCAAGATTTGTATTGATATTTTTCTGCTTCAATAATGCACAAGGGCAATTTCAGCATAACACAAAATATGTCTCCTGGGCACTTTAGTGAAGGAACACAAATAACTTTGGCATCAACAGAAAAAAAGAGAGGACTATCAACTTAATAACCTTTCCCTGTTTGCCTTGGAGGAGCTCTGGCTTCACAGCACTGCTTATTAAAATATAGAATAACCATTATTTAAAAAACACTTTTAACTGATGACTCTGCTATCTTGAGTCTAGAATATAAGAAGTAATATTAATTCCCTTTTGGAAAATGGTAACTCTGTATCTGACTGAATGATCTATAGGTAGTGCTCTGTGCACCATCTCAGCTTCAAACTCCTTGAATGCTGATAGGTAAGCCCTTAGCTTAGGCAAGCTATGGTTTCTTTATCTGTGAAACGTGTGTGTGTGTGTGTGTGTGTGTGTGTGTGTGTGTGTGGCGGCGGGCGGTGGGGGGGTGGTGAGGGGAATACCTAACTTCTTATCTCCAGATTAGATGTGAGGGGGAAAGGAGGTAACAGACTTCATGGCACATTTAGAAAAAGTGTGTGTGTATCTCAATATTGCTGACATCAGATCATACTACTATAAATTATTTTATTGTACTGAAGAACTAAGACATTTTTATATGAAACAACACAGTGAGCTCATAGTAAATAGACATCTTTAATGTTCATTTCTTCTTCCTCATCACCTTCAGCTTTGTCTACACATAGACCCCTTCCCCTGTCCCAACACGAAAGTGACCAATCACAACCACAGAGACTGAGAAAAATATTTGCGGTGTTGTTGACTCCATGGGGGCATTTTTTCCTCTTGTGATGATTTCTAGTTCCTTCTCACAGACACAGTTGAGGGCCTTCTTGCATTGTTCATCTGGAGAATAGAGGGAGGGACAGGATTTGTGGGAGAGAAGGCAGAGCAGGGTTTCTTCTTTCATCATAAAATGTTCCTTATAAAAAGATGATATATACATATATATATATAATATATCCAGCGCAACTGCAATTTTCTGCCAAACACTGGGAAGTACCACCTTGGTCGATGTATTTCTGGAGTTTTAAACAGTTGTCCTATAACAGCTGCATTTCAGTAAGAATTGGGCAGATGGCTCCAGATCAGCCACTTGCCACTCACATTCAAGCTGAGGCTTCCATGTTCACAGTCCAAAGGAATACATGTATCTTTGTGTTTGGAGTGGGTGTTGTGAGGGGAGATGTGCAAGGGAAGGAGCTGGAGGTTGAGCCACGAGGAAGAAGGAATTGGCTTCTTTTTTACTTCTCTAACACAGTCTTTGCTGCAGATACAAATACATTTTAAAATCTGAAGATACTGACATCAGTAGTGCTATGATCACACTACCTACTGAAATAATTCACACCAAAAGGTCTCTTTTGCTTTCCCCTGTTAACCAAGAAGTCTTATAATATCAGATCACCAGACTAAGCAGTCTCACCACAGGTATTTCCAGTGATTAAAACATTCAGAATCTTGGATCTGCTCTTTTGGCAGAGAGATTAATTTTAGATGACATTTCTGTAAATGTGGTTTTTAATTTTCCCAATAAACCGAGAAGTTTGAAGTCTGCCTTCCCCCATGTCCTCATCCAGGAAGTGAGAGGCATAGATGCTGAGCCTCCAGGGCTGGTCAAAGGGAAAGGGGAGGGGAAACCCTGGGTCAGCAATCAGCTCAGAAGGGATGCACCACAGAGGGAGTAGCGACGAGCTGCAAACCAAGATCAGAAGCTGTTACAAACCCACTCCATTTCAGCTCTGGGTGTCACCAATTGCACTATGTAGAGACCTACAGGGAAGAAGGTGGGCTGTCTAAAACCAGTACAGATCCTTGCTTTTGTCCTGAGGTTGTAAACCTGAAAATACAGAAAGGATGAGAAAGAGAGAGGGAGATGAGGAGAGAGGGAGAGAGGGAGAGAGAGGGAAAGGGAGGGAGGCAGGGAGAGACAGAGAAGAAGAAGGAAGAGGAGGAAGAGGAGGAGGAGGAACAGGAGGAGGAGGAAGAGGAGGAGGAGAAGGAGAAGGAGGAGGAGGAGGAGGAGGGAGGAGAAAGAAGGGGGTGGGGAGGGAAAGCAGAAGATATTTAAGGAAAGAGAAAGATAAACACCACTGTTTTATTGTGAAAGTTACAGACTTCATCTAAGGGGGCAGGGTGAATGGTGAATGAAAGTAAAAGCAAATAGAAAAGTTAAATCTACACCTGATGGAAGAGGAAATGTGCACAACTATAAACCAATAATTGTACTTACTGCATAACTTTCTAAAAATTGCCCCAAATAAACAACTCCTCCCCAAATCTTTGAACGTACCCTTCAAATTTAACTAAGCCAAAGATGTAGCATCTCCGTATTATCATTAAAATCATAATCTTTAAGTTTGACATTTGTAAGAGACCTATTTAATTCAATTTGCCAATTAAGCTGATGTAAGAGTCACATAACTGTCTAGATGACAAGAGGCCACAGAGGGTTTTAAAGTACACTCTCAGCAGGTAACTCTAGATCACCGCTGTTCAATAGGAGAACAATGCATTGGCGCTGCAAACATAGTTCTGAATTTGCTAGTAGACACATTGAAAAAAAATAAAACGAAACAAATGAGATTTAATGTGTGTCCAATAGGCAACTGCTTAACATATTTGAACATGCAAAATCGATATAAAATATTATCGAGGTGCATTTTACATTCTTTTTTTCACAGGTTTTGAAATCCAGAATGTATTGTGTACTAACAGCACATTCTAATTCGTCCTAGCTACCTAGCAAGGGCTCTGTAGTCACATGTGGCTAAGTGGCTTCGGTACGAGAACAGCGCAGACCTAAATTTCCACCGAATTTTATTAAAAAAAAAAAAAGTCGTCTGTGACATTTACCAACCAGGATTAGGGCAAAGTCCTACTTTCTAATCCCGCCCACATTGATGGCACCGAGTCTATCCCCTGAAACAAAATCTCGGCCACATTGTCCCTCGGGGTCCCGGGCGAACTAAGGGGATCTAAGGCTCAGCCTAGGGTTGGGTACTGTGCCTAAGGGGCTGTGGGGAGACCACACTCCCTCCTCCGCTTACCTGAGTCCACGCCGAGGCCCAGGCCCTGGGTCACGTCCCCCGCGGGGCTCACGAAGGGTCCCCCGGGCGATGCCCACGCGCCCCCCGCCTGCTCGCCCTTCGTGGCGAGCTCGCAGGGAGGGCTGGGCGCGGGCGCTGAGGCGGGTGCGAGGCGGGCGGGGCGGCCGGAGGCTGCAGGCATCAGCAGCGGCCCGTAGCGCGGGTCGAAGTGCGGCGCGTAGACCTCGTGCACTGTGGAAGGCCGCGGGTAGGCAGCGGTCTGTGCGCCGAGGGCGCTGCTCAGCGCGTAGGGGTGATGTGGATGCGCGTGGTGCGGGTGCGCGTGGTGCCAGGCATCGGCCGCGCCCTGGTGCAGGTGGCCGTGCAGCGCGGCTGGCGAGTAGGGATCCGCGGCAGCAAAGGGAAGCTCCGAATGCGCGGAGGTCAGAGGGCTGCCCAGCGGGGTGGACACTGGCGCCTGGTATGCGCTGTTCCAGAACGAGGCGGGGAAGCTGCGCTGGCTCATCGGGAAGGAGCCGTCTGCTGGCCGGGAGGCGGAGGGCAAGAAAGGTAAAGAAGAGCGTGTCACTGCGGCGAAACACGAGCGCCGACCCTACCCGCACCGCCCGGAGAGCCGAATGCTTGGCGCCCGCAAATGGCGGGAAAGGCGCGGCGTGGGGCGGACCCGCAGCCTCAGCCCATGGGGCTGTGCCTTTCTAAGGGGCTGCTGCAGATGAAAGCCAGGACTGGGCACAGGAGGAAGTGGGGCTTCCTCCGATTTTGCAGATCGATCCTCAGTGCAGAAACCCGCAGAGTGGAGGAGAGGAAGAGCACAGAGGTCCTCTCCCCCTGTCCAAATTTTGGGGAGCAGGGAGCTTCCCTCACCTCCAGGCCAAGCTGACTGAGCAACTTCTGCTTTGACTAGGCCTCGCTTTCCCAGCTCGCAGACTCTCAAGTTTAAAGATCCCTCTTCCACTTTGGTCCGCCGCCTACCGATCTCACTATCCCCTCTCCCACTGACGTTTTACGAAGTCTTGCTATTACTAGTTTTCTTTCTAGATATCTTCTTTCAAATATTTTCCCCAAGAACTCAAGCAAAGTTGCAAACTAGGCATATTAAAAGAGCAGCTGTGTTATTTGCACAGAGGGACATGAAGGGGCTGGCTTTTAAACGTAAGTTTTAATTAACAAATTTTCTGCATCAAAGTGAGGACGCCAGGAATAATAATAGTAATTATTATTGTCACTATCACTGTTAACACCTAGTGCATGGCAGCATTTAAAGAGAACAGTGTCGAGATCAAATTTGCTTTCTTTAATAGAGACGGAAATTTTTGGTGCATTTCTTTTGGGCAAAGCATCTCATCTACGAGAGAATTTAAAAATGATTTTAAAATGCATTCTAAGTACTTAGTGAACTTTTAAGAGTATTTAGGCAACTAGAGGATAAAAAGCTTATGTATTTAAAATTAATGTTTGCGAGCTTGTCTAAGGATAAGGTTTTGCAAACTTTCAGACACTTTTAAGGAAAAACAAAAGAAGGATAAAAGTTGCTGTCATTTCCCCCCAAATGGCAAATGTAAACAAATAAAAATTTGTTTTCTTTCTTTCTTTTTTAAACAAAGCCCTCATTTCTCAGCTTACTACACATTGAGAATTAAACTCAGTGAGCAAGTTTACTAAATGGTTTCCCCCACCTTTGCGTTATTGGTAATAAAGGGAAGTTGCAATTACAGAATGGAAGAGAGATTTAATTGATTCGGGCAAGAAACCATTGTCCTAGGCTAGATTAAAGCAGTGCTTTGTTTTTTTGAGATTTCTCAAGCAATTGAAAACTGGTGAAAGAAATATGTTGGTTTTTGAAGGCATTTCCCAGCACATTTGCTTGTAGGAGAGTCTGGGAACCTTTTTTCTGAACAAATTTTCAGAAACTGGGAAAGATCCGGTGTCCCTGGGTGTTGGAAATCTCACATTTCCATGGCACATTTGCATACATTTTAAGAGTCTTCTAGCCTGCTCTGGGGATGGTAAGGAGGGGTAGTGTTATTCTAATTTTAGAGACAGGTAAATAGTGACCTCAAAGAGGTTAAGAGACTTGACCAAGGTCATATTGCTAAGAAGTGGTGGAACCATTACAGAAACCTGGGCCTTCCAGTTCCAAGGCTACTGTGTCCCTCACAGGTCACTGCTCTGCTCTGCATCTTACCCTCCCCCAATGCTCCTCCTTCACACCTTCTGTAACACCTAGTGCTTTTAAAGTTGCATGGCTTTGGGTAACTGGAAGGAGACCTCAGACAGAGAGAGCCTCCATCCACCCTTGCTTCTAGGTCCCCATCCTCTTACCTCGCCAGGGCCCAGAGCTCCTTGGTGCTTTGCTGCTGGTACAGCTGGGGGAGTAGCTGCTAGGCTGGCTCAGTGCCCTACTGAAATGTTCATCCACCACAGAGCTGATATCCCCCTGGAAATAGGTGAAGAGGACGCAGCGGGAGTTGATGTACTCTGCCTCTGGTGGGCGCTCTTTCTCTGGGCTGCCTTCTTCCTCTTTTATACTGGCTGGAGTTTGACTGGAAAATGAGGAGCTGCCACTGCCACTGCTGCTGGGGCTGGCGTTGCACTCCTGGGCTTCCTGCATTTTGGAGTAATAGGCTAGTTTCTGCTTAGAGAGAGAAAGAAAAAAAAAGCTAGTTTAAAAAGAAATAGCAAATTGAGTTCAGGCAATTCTTTCATTCCAGTCCCTCAGGTATCCATGGGAAAACTGGCATCTGCACTCAAGGCTTGTGCCTGACACATAAAACCAGCAATTGGGGGGGCAACACAATCAGGGCAACACCCTTCCTTAGAGGAAGACTGATACCTCTGTGTTCCCAGAGTTGCTGCTGGGCCACAGGGAAACTGCTCCTAAGATGTTACATGGGTGAAAGTTCCAGAATACACTCAAAAAGCCAGGTTATGAGCTGACCTCAGAGACAGGTTTGGGGCATATGTATTTTAAAAGTCGTACTCCAGAGAAAAAGGGCACCCAAGTCCAGTTAGCACCTGTCTGTTCCCTTCCTGAGAATTCAGGGCAGAAGTGTAAGATGAAAGATTAAACATCTTCATGATGAAATAGAAAAAAAACAAAAACAAAAAAACCCACTGTACACAACCAGGAATGTAAGGGAAGAATTGCCACAGAACATATGAAGGACTTCTGTTTAGTAATGAATGGAGAAAACTGTCAGATAATGTTGTGAGTGGGTATCATGATCATTTTAATAAGTGTAAATTGATATTTGTTTACTCATAAAACCTCCATTAAAAAAATCTCAGTTTTTAAACAGATCTTTTAAGTAAAGAAAAGCTCTCTATTCACATCAAGGAAGAAGTCATGAAATGGAGTATGAAGAAGATTATGATACTAGTGGTGAGGCTGGACAAATTGTGATATCTGATAGTAAAATTTTAAAACAAGTGCAGTCTCTGAAAACATTTTCTTAGAAATGAGCAGTGGACTGACTGCAGTGTAAACACATTCTGCAGGCAGAGGTGGCTTGCAGTGGGGGAGGGCAAGTCATACAAAAGTGAACGAGATTTTAATGTAATAGCTTGGTCCAGGGTCCAGGAGGAGAAAGGACCTACCTCTCTCTTCCCTTCAGTAGTCCCATTTTGGGATGGAGCTCCTGATCTCAGAGGCTGGAGCCAAAAGATCATTTAGCAAATTTTGCTTCTTAAATGCTACGTTCCCACCTGGCTTACAATTGGGATTTCTAATGATTCTTAAAATTAATATGGAGATTACAAGTTCCAGATTAGAAAGTTTAAAAGAGGGGAGAAAACTAAAACAAAACAAAACAAAAAACCCTACCTATCCCATCATTAATTCTCCAGAAAATGTCGGAATAGACCTTTCTTGGTGAAAGCATTGATGCAAACACTGGGGTTTAGTTCAGTTTCCCAAAGGAGTCCAGGTCCTCACTTTCTAATCTGGCCCAGACCCCTACAGCTCCAGGTGTGCGCTTTTGTTCTTTTCCTGGAATAGCTGCTGCCTCAGCTAAGGTCCTACATTGTAAAACTAGACGCAGCCCAAGAAAAAGAGAATTTGGCAGAATTAAACAAGACTTGAAGAGTTTGTAGGACCAGGGTTAAGTGGTCCTTAAAGTGAATCTGTTGAAGGCAGGGCTGCCCGACTTAGCTACTCCTGCTTGAGAAAGGCGAAGCTCACTTCGGCGGGTCAATCGCACACTAATGATACAATTCTCGAACTTGGCAGAGCAAAGATCATGAAACCAATGCCTTCTGTGCCGTGAGTCTTGTAACGAATTCGCTGGTTCTGGAATTAATTCAATTAATCTGAGAATTGAAATGGAAGAAATTATTCCTGAGATAAACTTGTAGGGGAAGAAGGTGTGGACATTTGCATTTCAGAAAGAAAGACTGGCTTTTGTTTTCTGTTTTGTTGACATTCTCATCTTTAGGATCAAAGTCTGGTTTTCTCTGAGTGAGCTTTGACCAAAGCTCCCTGCACCCGAACCAACAGACTCTAAGACGAAAATCCAGCCTGTGCCATCCTCCTCTGATTATTTCGGGGAAGGCCTGGGTGCGCCCTAGCCCTGCTTAACTGACTTCCCGAGAGAGCAAATCAGCGAGCTAAGGGGGTTAGCTAATTGCACAACCAACCGGATGGCAGCGCGGGCAATCCTCGCATCCTGGCGGCGCCCGCTGCCTCTCCGATGCCCGGTACGCACAGAGGCGCCGCGGACCTTGAGGTACCCGTTGTGCTTCGGCGAGCCAGAGGCGCGACATCGGTCGCAGTGGTCCGGGTCCGGACCCGGAGGGGACACTTACCTGATGGTAGGGGGTGTAGGCGGCTGCGAAGTAAGGTTGCGGAGGACCATAGACTTGGTACATAACATCCAGACAGCTCATGGCTTCCCGCAGCAGAAGCGGTTAAGTTGGTTTTCATCAACTCTTGCTCGGAGGAGCTCAGGGATGTTGCACGGGCGACGCTTGGGCCCGAGCTCTGGAGTCATTGGCGGAGAAACGAGTGCAGCGCGCTCTGGGGCTTGAGATCCCGCGGCTCCCTCCCTTCCCACTCCTGCAATTCTAGCCGGGGCCGCGCTCCCGGACAGAAGTGGCTGGGCTCCGGCTAGTGGACATTTAAACCCCACGTCCCGCGGGCGTGCTGACGCCACTCCCAGGCTGTGAGGGGGAGGGGGCAGTGGGGGGCGGGGACGGGGGGGGCCAATGGAGAGCGAGGGACGCCAGCTCAAAGGGCTGAGGGTGTGCTGTCCCGTGCTCTCTCGCCGCAGGCGTGTGGCGGAGACTGCGGTCTAGGGAAGATGCTTCCTTAGGCTTAGCACCGCAAGGAGGAATTTCCTAGGCTAAAATGGGCGAGGAGGAGAGGAGAAAGAGACAGAGACTGAAAAGAATTGAGGCTCTGAGAAAGAAAGAGAGAGAGAGAGAGAGAGAGAGAGAGAGAGAGAGAGAGAGAGAGAGAGAGAGAGAGAGAGAGAGAGAGAATCGGGGAAGGTCTGGTGGAGAGCCCTGGCCTCACACAGATGAGTTGAGTGTGCGTCTAGGAGTGGCGAGGTCCAGCAGGTTCTCTACTCTTGGTTCCTGATGATGTTTAGGGAAACTCCTCTGAGAGTTCCCTAATGGATCTGGGTCGTCCTGGGAGCGGAGGAGCTCCCTTTGTGGGGAATTGACAATGCCTCACCAGTGACCACTTTCTCTGCTCCGCCTCTTTTTGGCCTTCTCCAACCGGTTCCTCTGGCTGCCTGCTCCCACTCTCCAATTCCCCTTTTTTGGGCTGCTCCTTTCTGTGTCCTAAGGTTAGATCCCACTCATTTCTCTTTGATGAACTCCACACGAACCCATTCGGTCCGGCTAGACCGCGCCCTACACCATGCTGCTCCTGCTGTGAGCTGCTTTCTAGGAGTCCGGGGAGCTTAGGACACCTGGCCCTCCAGATGCGGGTCTCCTCCGCCGGCGTCCTTTAAAGATTCGGTAACTTATTGAGACCAAGACTGGGTGGTTCTAAGAGACATTTAGGCACTGCAGGCAGGTGAGAGAGGGCGTCCGCTGCCTCTGTAGCCCGTGATAACAAAAACTGCGGTGCTGGGTTTCATTTTAGAGAGGTGAGTGTGCACTCCAATTGGGAAATTCGGGCCGAGAGCTCAGCTGGCTCGGACCTCCCTCCTGCAACTTTCTCTGTCCTCCCTAGTGCCTCCCCTGGGAGGGGATGCTACAGGCCTACAAGTTTAGGAATGAATTGAGACAGCTCTCCCCACCCCCACCCCCGCCCCGCCGCAGCCCCCCACACGGTTCGGGGCAGAAGAGACCTTACAGGGATAGTGGTGGGAGGGACTTGGTGGCTTGGGGCAGAGACTGGACAATTGCAAGCCAGATACCAGGAAGGGGCAGCGTAGATAGACGATAGCGAACTTTAGTAACTCCCCAGTTTAAAGCCAATAGAAACTTTTACATCTATTCTCAAACTATAAATAAAGCTGTGAATAAATGCATTCTTGAAGATACTTATGTTCAAAAGTGAATATTTTAAGTCAAAATGTTTACCTCATTAATAAATGGGCAATGGTTCCATGACTCCAACTCCGTTTCTAAATGGTGAACCATCCTGAGCGATTTAATTAAGTACAATGTAATCTATTTTTAATTAAAATAAAAATGAAGACAGTCCCCTTGCGCAGTTTTACGCAAGGCTCTTTTTAGGGACTGGGCTGTCTGGTGGCTGTGGTGTTCCATAGCCTTCTGACGACTCTGCCAGTCGCGCAGATTAGCCTTCCCACCTTCATTCCCACCAGGTGTTTCGGAGTAGGGGCATAACAGCCTGTCAGCTTTTCTCTTGGGCAGAAGCAAACAGTCACCCCAAAAGCCACAATCCCCTCTCTGGATGTGGAGATGGAAAGCGCAGGCCCAGGTCTTCCTTGATGACGCCTGCTTAGAAGAGAGGTTCCGCCCAACATCACGCTGGGCTTTTGGACTCGAGCGAGCCCGCACGTCCTAGGACCCGTCTAAGCACACCTCCGGAGGCCAGGTGCCCAAGTAGTCGCTGCTCGCAGGACGCAACACTGCCAGTGTGCTGCTCCTCCACACTCAGGACCCCATTTTGATCAGATCCCGCAGTCCATCCTTGAACTCAAGAGGTTCCACTCCTTCCCGCACAGCCTTTCCGCTCAGCCTTCCCGCTCTCTTTCTCCTCCTGCTCTGCTCAGCTTAGTGGAAGCCCAGGCAAAATTTCCGGAGTGAGGGAGAAGAAGACCCAAGCACTGACTCAGCCAAAGCTAGGATACGCTGTGCTGGTCTTCACTCACCACCAAGAAGCTACTTCTATCCCCAATACCCACTGACAGTGACTTTATTATTATTAGTTTATTTATTTTATTTTGGTCAGCCAGAAAAAATCGTGACAACCTCTCCCAGTAAAGAGCGGTAGTTATTTTCGAAAAGAATTACAGGAGCAGCGATTCGATTTTGTAAGAATGAAATTAAGAGAAAGTGAGTCTAGTTACTCAAGGCTGCTTTTTGTTCATATTCCCCATTATTCTCTTACCTGAAACAGTTTTTTTTTAAATGTTACGAAGGCTAAGTTTAAAGGCTCATAGGGAATTGGGTCAAAGGGCAGTAATCTTGAATTTAGGCAAGAAAACATTCTTCTCCCCCCAAACTCAAAATGAAGAAAGAAAAATAAAAAGCCTGGGAGTCTGAAAATACACCCCTAACTTGAAGCACTCTCAGTCTTTTCCTTAGATCTGAAAAGTTATCATTTACATGTTTGGGTGGTATTTCTCACCTTGAGATCTCCTCTTGTCCGTGGTGAAGCAGAAAGAAAAACTCAGCTAAATGAACCCCTCCCCACTCTGCTCCCAACCCATTCAAGCCAGGACATTAACAGAGTGGAAATCAGATTTTGATTCAGAGCCTTGGGATTGCGGTACAGGTTGAAGGAGAACACTGAGAAAGTGTTCTTTTCCTTTTCCTTTCTTGTTCCCTCCCTTACTTTCCTTTTCTTGAGAAAAGACCACACCAATAAAAATTAAAACTTGCCAGGATTTGGTTGCCATGGACACAAGAATCAACACTCCCAGGAAAAGAAACTGTTACCAATCACGTGGAACTGCCTTTTAACTTCCTAATTGGGCACAGGGAGTATCAAACCTTATTTTAGAAATGACTTCCCCTTTATGATAGATTCAAGGCAGTTTATTGGTTGCCAGGAGGGAACCATATGAAAATAAAGGTAATTCCACCAAAACGTATTTTTAATACCCTTGTTCTATTCTGCAATTTTTGCAATATCTAAAACTCTAAAGGTAAATTACCTTTAAATGCAAAGTTAATCTATGAAATTAAATTACTTTTGAGTGAATGTATTTGAAGAATACATCACAATAAACATCTTCAGAAGGATTTGTCTTCTGTCACCTGTGTCGTCTTATTTTGAAAACTGCAAAGATGCAGCTTTAAAGGAAGGACGTTTGACTAAAACTACTTTGGAGAACTTACTTGTAGCCAGCCCAGGCTCTCAGTTGCTCACGGTTTATTTGGACTATGAGAGTTGGTGTTTTGTGCTGCCTTATTCTGCCAATCAAAGGGGATGATCACAATGGTAATCTCATAGATTTCCTTCCCTAAACCCATCCTTGCCTGTTTAACTTAGGAGAGATGTGTTTGGATTTAGGAAAACAGCTGACAAGATTCTGTGGATTCAAGCTGTTAATAGTATCAGTTGAAAACATTTCTGCAAAAGCTGGGGCTTTCAGGCATGGTGTGTTACTTAGGGATGATAACTCTAGTGATGAAAAATCTGAATGGAGATTTTATTTTCAAGAAATGAAAGGAAGAAAAAAGAAAGTTCATCTATTCTGAAGTCTCTCTAAAAAGCTTTAGAGAAAGAAGAAAAAGAGGATTCCATTGTTTTCATACAAACTTAGAGTAGATCTTAACAGTGGTTACAAGTAAAAATTATTCACACAAGTAAAAATCTTGGTCAAATGAATGGCCAAGATTACTTTATAACTATTGACATATATTTGATTACATTAAGACATTAAGAATGTTGTTAACTTTCACCTTTTTAAGAGATTGAGACAGGGTCTCCCTTTGTAGCTCAGGCTGATGCTGAGCTTGATATCCGCCTGTTTTAGCCTCCTCAGTGCTGAGATTACCGCTGTGCACCACCACTCCTATCTCCTCTTTCATATTTTAAAAAAGGCTATTTTCATGTTATGTACAAGTTGACTTCAGCTTTGGTGAAACAGTCACAACTTTCTGAGTTTAGTTTTCTCTTGAATTCATATTAACATTAACATCTATTTCTAAGATTGAAAAAATATTTAAAACTATATTCATCTTTCAAAAATGTGTTCTTGTTAATAAGGTTCTAGGAAATGTTTCATATAAAGATATGGTTTCACAAATTCAATATGTATACTCAAACCTTTAAAAATGATAACTTACAAATAGTAAAGAGGGCAATTAGAGTTGATGTGTATCAAGCATTTTGACTTGTCATAGTTTTAAAAGAAAAGAAATTTATATTCTACTATGTTTACTTGGACACAAAGAGTTAACAAAGAAAGCATGTATGAATTATTTATTAATCAGAAGTTATTTCTGTATCTGCTTTGCATTTAAAACTTACTTTAATTGCCTTTAATTTCTAACCCTATTAAAATTTATTTCTTAGAAGACAACATCTGGTGTCTAAGATGACTGTGAAACCCCTTTTGTGAGATACAGGGATATAGGACAGTTTTGAGATTGAGAAGGTGGAAGTAGACCAAGAATTTAAACTGTTGACTTAGATATTTGACAGTATTGGTGTTGATCCATTCCCAAACTTCTGTTTATAAACTTCATTTCAACAAGATACTAAAGGGATTAAAAGGAGACCACAGCAATAACAGACAGAAGGTGAAGATAACCCTCTGAGTGTGATGTCCTGTCACATGCTTCAAGAGGTCTTGAAACAGCTTCTTAGAAACTCTAGGAAGTTTCTCTTGGCATGCATGAAAAATTTTTAGCACCAACTGTAGACTGGTATTGTCTGTCTGATTCCTTTGATTATTGTGACAAATTTTTAAATAAATTTAAC